AAAAACAGAAGGCAGGGTGTCAGGCTGAACCCATTGCATTCATCTGATTCTTTTCTTTCAAAACAGCTAAAAATGAAATCAGATAATGTTCTCAGATGCTTTAAACAAAAGGAATTTTCTGGGGCAGCATGTAAAATAATCTTTACAAATTTCACATTCTCTCCAAGTCTCACACCCCAGTCTATAGATGTTGAGATTTCCCTAAAGTATCAAAGTGCTAAAGGAAAGAACTTAAGCAAAAATTCAAGTTTTGCTATTGTGCCATATTTTCTTCTGTCTTTCTAGACTCTGCGGAAACCCAGCAGCAATAAGCTTTTATAGCTTTCTTATTCTGTCAATCAGTTCCCATTTCCAAATACGAAAAAGGCCAAGGAAGTTTGTCCTCTTTTGAATTCTTAGCTTCCCAGGTCATGAAAATGTCCTCCTCCTCACTGTAAGTAGATTTGTGTTTTACCCTATTCCGTATCCAACAATCTATTTCATAGTTAAGGTACACCATAAGGTATAATATACCTTGAATGTATTTATGTGAAAGTGTGGTATTTTCTTTCTTTTACTCCCACAAGAGGATATGTAGAAGAGAACTGCTATCATTACTTATTTTTATTCCTTCTGCTTATATCCGAAGCATTTCCAAACTAATCTAGTTGAGGAATGTATGTCCTTCCAAGATTGCTACACCTTGTTCATTGCTACCTTCTTCATCCCAGTCAATTCCTTCTTTATTCTGGGCACCAGTGCATTGACACCGACACATTGATGTTCTCCTTGTGAGAATTAGCCTATCACATTCATTTACATCCACTTAATTGCTCCTGCTATTGTTTAGTCTGTTAACTTCCAGCTAGGGTGCAATTCACGTGAACACTGGGGAAGCACAACCATTCGATTAGTTCTGCAAAGTAGATTAAAATCTTCTGGCTAATTGGAGATTGTCCATACCTCTGCCTTCCTTCCAACTCTAGGTTGAACAAATGTTATGTCTTCAAGGGAGGGCTCTTAGTTGGAATATGGAAGTCTTGACTGGACCCAGTAGCATTTTCTGAGCATGTTTGTGTATGGGACACTGTGCTAGGCACCATGCCAGCAATTATCACCAATCTGGTCTTTGCCTGCAACCTGCAACTAGTCTTTTGATTGGCAGCTTGCCTTCTTCATTTTCATAAGGAGCACATGCACACTGGAGAAACTCCAACTTGGTACATGGCTAAATCATTAGTATCCCAAATTGGTAAGAATTTCATTTTGAAACACAAGCACTAAGAAAAATCCTATAAAACAGTTTGTCTAGTTTGGGGGAAAATGATAATTATGAATATGATAGTCTCACTTGCATGATCCAAAGCATTATGCCATGTTGGACGTAGTTAATTTATTCAGAACTTATCATTGATGTAATAGCAAGCATGCTTTGGTTACTAAGCTGTCGCATAGTTGTAGGCAACAAAGTTCCAAAGCTTTCTTTGGCAACATGTCACCATTCTGTGTACATTAAGCTGAGGTGCTTTAAGATGTTTAATTACGTTTTATCTAAAGAAAATGGAAAGCTCACATATCTACTCCAGGAATTCTAAGACATAACAGTAAGTCAAATTTCTTTATTTAATCTAAAATGCCTATCCCAACTTGGTTTTAGCCCACCTCACTAGCACATTTTCTGACTGTCCCCTAAAATGCCACTGAATAAAACTGGTAACTCTCCCTTAAACGCATTGAATTATTTTTATGGCCTGGTGTCCTTATGTCACTGTTCCAGTTATCTGGGATCTGTGATAGGTATGATGTACCATACAGGAAGAAGTACTTAATGTTGACCCGGGAGTCAACACAAGATGAGATCTATCTAAAAACACACCGGATGCTTTCCATCAATGATATCATCTAATCCTCCCAATAGAACTTGGAAGCAGTTGCCTAATACCCATTTACTGATTGACTGAGTCTCAGAAAGTTTGAGTGACTGGTGCAAGATAACATAGTAAGTAACAAAGTGTTGAATTGAAATCCAGCTCTATCTCTATATGACTCCACACGTACTTGTTTCCTACGACCTCATAGAGGTGTTCATTGGGAAGAGAGAAATCTTAAGCTCCAAGTTGAAGAAAGAGTAAGTGCTAACAATGTAGAAAAAAAGAAAGTTAATATTTCTGGGAAGAAACCCTGCCTTCTCACCAAATGTTGATAGCGAGTATAACATCAAAGGTAACAAGATCACCAGGACTTAAATATAGGAGAAATAAGGAAAATAGTGATAGAATTTTTGTTGCTGTCAAGACAGGATCTTGCTCTGTCACTCAGACTGGGGTGCAGTGGCTCAATCATAGCTCACTATAATCTCAACCTCCTGGGCTCAAGTGATTCTCCCACCTCAGCCTCCCAAGTAGCTGTGACCACAGGTGTGTACCACCACACCTGGATAATTTAGTGACAGAATTTGTTAAGACCATGTGATGTCTCTGAGAAGCATATCAGGCACCCATGGAACAGGCACCCATGGAACAGCCTGAGGATTTTAAAGAGTTTGTGAAGAAGGTAAAGGATACACTGAGAGTAACTTGAGACCCAGAGATTTCCAGACTTAAGAAACACATTGCTGCCCATCTCCTCTGAAGATGCTAAGGAAGAAAGTATCAGGTTGCTTTTCATTGCATTGTCTGTGAAGCCTGCAGAAGTGGCAATTACACAGTAGGTCATAAAGTGGACACCTTAGGACAAAAGAATTTACCTGGTTCATCACTGCTCTATCCCTCAGACTCCTGTTTTATATTTCCATTGTATGTGAGGGAGATAAGCAGGAGAGAGTAGGAAGAATCTACCTGGGATAAAGTCACAAACTAATGATTACCCTTAACATTCAAAGGGCCTGGAGGAAGAATACAAAGGGAGATCCACAGAAATGTAGGTTGAAATATCTGCATTACAAATCAAGCTAGCAAACTGTTGACTAAAATAAGGTCTAACCCTCTGTCTTGATTAATAGGCTGTAATAACAACCTGGAAGTCTAAGTTTCAACTTAGAATCTTTGGGATCCTTGAAGTGTGATGCTGGAACTGGCAGAAGAGGAAACCCAAACCTCAGCCTCCGGCCCACCTCCTGTTTTTTCCCATCCCTCCACTGTGAGGGTCCTCACATGTGCAGATATATTTTTCCACATCTCCATGGTCAGTTCACACCGGGGTTCAGGGGAGCAGAGGCCATTGGTAAAGTCCATCCCTAAGAAGATGGACTTTATCTACTAAAAATACAAAAATTAGCCAGGCGTGGTGGTGTATGCCCGTAGTCCCAGCTATTCGGGAGGCTGAGGCAAGAGAATCACTTGAATCTCGGAGGCAGAGGTTGTAATGAGCCGAGATCGGGCCATTGCACTCCAGCCTGGGCAGCAGAGAAAGACTTGGCCCTCCCCAGCCCTCCCCACCAATAAAAGATAAAATAATCATATGGATAGACTGGCCATGCCAAGATCCATTTATTTCACATGGGCCCATTTCATGTGCATACATGAAATTATTTTTCTAGCCACAAAATACATTAGTAGGTCTTATTGTGAATTGGAACTATTTCACCCCAAGTTCCATGCATGTTTTTCTATTGGTTGTATGGAAGCATCCTGTCTTATTCAGACTCTAAAATGATAACAGAGTGATGTCATTTGGTACGAATTCCTGTGCATGGGCCAGGTGTGTTAGCCAGTGGGCAGGCAGTCAGTACGTATGTAGCAGGCATGCTCTATTCCCAGTTCATTAGCTTGGCAGGTGACACGTTGGCCTCTGCTAGGATGCAAAATGCACTTTCTCAGATTCCCAAGATTCTGTGTCAACTGCTATGTACCAATCATTGATTTCTCTCTGTGTGATGTGGGGTTAATGAGGAATGACAGGTTGCTTTTTTTTTTTTTTTCCTCAGTGTATATAAGCTGCCAAGCACACTTAACCCAATTGCCATTATTTTGGAACTAACTTCTGACATATGGATCATATTTTAACCTATAAGTAGATATACACATTTTCGATATGAAGTAAGTGTTTACAAAATATCCCATGTACATAACAATGTTATACATGTTTATTCATGGTGGAATACACAGAATTGGATTTATAAAACATTAACTCTATGTTCATAAACTCTCTGCAGTTAACTAAACCAATGATAGAAGCTTTCTAAAGGAGCGACAGAATACCTCTAAGGAACATGAGTGACTTTTTAGTAGTCTGATATAGAATGAAAAATGCAGGCACAGTAATTAATAATATGCTAGAGTAGAGACAGTGAATACAATCACCCTCCCTCCCCGGATCTCCCGCCCTGCCATGATCTTTATTAGCTTTGTCCTGACACTCTGACCTTACTGAGCTCTCTCCAGCCCTGACAGCCACATAAAACCTACAAACAAATAGGGAACTGGTGCAGCCTTTTCAGATTTAGGATCATGTTCGAGCGTATGAATCAGATTTTTCTATGTGTGGACATGACAACTATGGAAAAACTGTAATTTAGGACATATTCTCTTTATCCTTTTATGTAGAATTTCACTTTAATGTGATGCAAATGACAGTAAGAAATACATTCAGAGAATGTTAAAGCCTTCCCATTAAAAATTCTGTATGCATTTTACATTCTCATTCATGTACAGTCAAAAACCCTGATAAAATCACAGTGCTGATTTGACTGCTGCACTTATCGTATTAATGAGGATACTTTATGCCTTTTGAAAATTGGGATATGGTCCATTATGTGATTGTAAATGATGTGATTGTATCACATAAATTTGTTAATCAATCCCACCCCTCCCTTCAGTCAGCTTTGTATATAAGAAGATTCATTGGTGAGCCAGAATTGAGGCCAGAAAACTGAACTACAAATTAGACTTTTCTTCTTTTGTCTTTATTTCTGTTTATAGAAAGGAATATAATAAACATGCACACGTTTGTGTGGGCATATATATATATGTATTTTTTCTTACCTTTTTTTTTTTTTTTTTTTAATTTCCTTAAAACCACAGGGAAAAGCTCACCAAGGAAGTCAAAATGAAAGAAAGAAGCAGACAGGGCCGAGGCTCCCTGAGGTACGTAGCACTTTCTTCCACAGCCACGGAAATACGCCTTTTACTTTTTCCTGATTTAGGATTGTCTAACACTTGGAAGTCTTCCCTTCTCCCTCTTGCAATAAGTGAAAGATTTGAGAACTGTTGTTGGCCAAAGTTTCCTGATTTTTGGTTGCATTTGCATTCCTAAAATACCTACTTTTCTCTTTATTTATTTTTCTGTCGTGCCCACCTAGAGACACAAACACCTTCCCTGACATCAGGATCTCCAAACTCCCCACATAACAAATTACAGCACTGATAACAGAAGCTCTTCAGAACTCTCCGATTAAAGCAAAGGAGGGGGCCACTGGCTGTTTTTGGCTGAGTAGCTCTTATGGCCTTGAAGGGCTACACATTTAATTGCCTCTTTAATGACGGTCCCAAGTCTTATGATAATTGGAGAGAAGCCCATGCACCAAAGGTGCTTTCTGGTCCTAAAGTCATGGCAATTATCATTTGTTGTCTGTACATCTGTGTTTTATAAACATTATTTTTGGTTTTGGATTCCTAAGCATTTGTAGGCTGGCCTTTTCTTTCTTTCTTTCTTTTCTTTTTTTGTTTTTTTAGTTTTGTTTCTTTTTTGAGACAGAGTCTCGCTCTTTTGCCCAGGCTAGAGTGCAGTGGTGCAATCTCAGCTCACTGCAACCTCTGCCTCCCAGGCTCAAGCAATTCTTGGGCCTCAGCCTCCCGAGTAGCTGGGATTATAGACATGAGCCACCACGCCTGGCTAATTTTTATATTTTTAGCAGGGACGGGGTTTCACCATGTTGGCCAGGCTTTTCTCGAACTCCTGACCTCAAGTGATCCACCTGCCTAGGGCTCCCAAAGTGGTAGCATTACAGATGTGAGCCACTGTGCCCAGCTTCCTTTTTTTTTCTTTATTCCTTAAAAAAATGATCTGTTGCCTGGAACCTGGAGTAAGTGATATTGTCCTTCACAGTAGAGCAAGCTCTGGTGTGGAGTTCTTAGAGTTTGAAATACAAATGCCCAAGTTCTTGACACTCATCTGGCAATCTCATATTTCTGACTCTTATTCTCGTTCACCTTGGTACCTGACCTTTAGGTCTTATGAAGCTCTGAGTTTTCTCAGAGCTCAGATGCTGTGGATGAAAAACAAAAATTAAAGTTTGGTCTCTGATACGTTCTAACATCGAAAACACAGTACCATGTTTCCCCTACTGTCTTCCAGGAGAGATGTCAGAAAGAATGATTTCCACATTACAGTAAATTTGATGGCACATCATTTATAATTTTACAAATATTTACAATTATTGTAAATTTTATTTTTTAAATAGCACATGGAAAAAGGTAAGTTTTTGACTAAGATATACCAAAAGCTTACAGGGGGTCTTTCCTGATGGAAGGTAGGTTTCTTCTTTTTCTTTTCTTTTTTTGAAGTGGAGTCTTGCTCTGTCGCCAGGCTGGAGTGCAGTGGCGTGATCTTGGCTCACTGCAACCTTTGCCTCCCAGGCGATTCTCCTGCCTCAGCCTCCCAAGTACTTGGTGCTACAGGCACATGCCACCACGCCCAGTTAATTTTTGTCTTTTTAGTAGAGACGGGTTTCACCATATTGGCCAGAATGGTCTGAATCTCTTAACATCATGATCCACCTGTTTCGGCCTCCCAAAGTGCTGGGATTATAGGTGTGAGCCACTGAGCCTGGCCTTTCTTTTTTTTTAATCTTTTTTCAGATTCAAGGCCAATAAGAACTTTATACAATCTTCTGGACAAAGCTTGCTACATCCTAATCTCTGCAAATCCACTCTGTTCTGTTCACTGCTCTCCTTATTAATCAGTTCTACAAAGCTGTACCCTTCTCAGTACTGTTATACACACTGCATTTTTATGCTTCTGTTTTGGAGTGGCCTTTTCTATATTTTTGCTTTGTCTTGCATTCAATTACCCAGAGCTTGGTCTGTAGAATAGGATACCATCACTGCCTACATTTAGGTCACAGCACATTATGTCATCTGGATTCATATATTTTACTTCTGCCTCTTTTAGGAGGAAACTCATTTGAGAAATCTTGGCTCTGCCTTTGGGGAGGAATCATTTACCTTCCTTTCATCTGGGCTGAAATTTGCCTCCTCATTTCTTTTGTTAATAAAAAAAAGAAAACTTATTTACATCTTCTCAGATCCTATTAGTTAGCACAATTGCCTAATTGTTGCAGTTTTAAGAAAGACCAAGTCATTTTCTTGCTTTCAATCATTGTTGGTCTATTTCTTGGGTTACACAATGCTACATTCATGTCTGCCTACTTTCTTTGGGAAGCTTTTTCTGTTTCACTTTGCTGTGCAGCATCATGTGCATGGTTCATTTCCTTCCCACACATAGGAAATATGGCTAAACCATCCCCCTATAAAAGAGTAGAGAGAAAGATAGCAGGCCTGGCAATATCGCCCATCACCTTGACCTCTCTGTCTGAGGATAAGGGCAGGCTGGAATCTGTGTTTCTGTATGAATTTGGCCTGATTTTTCTTCCCTTTTTTCTTCTCTAATGTCTTAACAGTTCCTTAGAATGAATTTCCCTACCTAAGATGGATCTCCCCCTTTCTCTCTTGACAACGCTGAGGGTGTGAAATATTACTCATGCAGTCCACTCTCTGAGAGGTATCGCTGGCTGAAGCCATGCTGCTCATCTGCCATTCTGTACCCAACTGTGGATAATAACGGAATTGATTTTACCTGAGGAAAGACAAAGGCACCTCGGGCTGCTTTCTGCATTATTTTGTTCTCAGGTTATTCTGCTCTGAATGGTGAGATCTCTCACTAGAATATTGGGTCACATCTAGCTTTCTTTATGGCAAATCCCCTGTGTGGGAACTTCTGGCAATGGGCTGTGAGGTGTTACTATTCTGTGCTTGTGTGTGTGTGTTGTCAAAGTATAACATGAGTAAGCTTATGTTTTCAAGTCCTCTGAATGCTTTTTCTTTTTAAAATATGCTTTTAAGAAAGCGTATCTCAAAGTTGGAGACTAAAACTTGGTTTTCAGATCCTCTGGATGGTGACTTTAAAGAAGACTATTCTTGAATAAATTGTAATATGAGCATAAATAAGCCAACCTACATATATTATAAGGGCAATAAAGATAATATTGAGTGCTTAGTACTTCTCATGCATGTTCTAATTGCCTCATGCTTATTAATTTACTAAATCCTTATAATAACTTCATTAGGCATACATTATTTTGATCTCTATTTTACAGATGCAGAAACTGAGGCACGGAGCAAGGTTAAGTAAATTGTTCAAGCCATATAAGTGGTAAGTGGCAGGTGGCCTTGGCTTCTAAGTCTTGACTCTTAAATGTTGAATTTCTCTGCCTCATTGAGAGAAAAATCTACAATGTCTCATATAGTAACCATCATGTGAGCAAGATGTTTTACAAATATTTTAAGGAAATGTTGATGAAATAATGCGTACTTATAAGTGATTTTATTTCTATCACCCTTTGTTTTTTTAAACTATATTATCCCTTTGTGTTTAAAAAACCCAAGTTATCTTGAATGATGTGGAGAATTCAGGAAAGTTAACATATAATGGTTGTCACCTTAAAAAAATCTGGTGTGTTTGCTGTAGGATCCCTTGAGTTATTACTTTTATTTTAAATCTCTCTGTGTTTTCTGTTGGTTCTTATTGATACTTTTATTCAGGTGAGAAGGCATATACACCCACTGAGGCTCTCTCTGGAAAGTGTTGAAAGAGGGTCAGGTAGAAGTCTCAGGTTTTACCTGTGCTTAAAATGTGTGCTATGAGAAATATATTCCAGGGATAACCTTCAAAATTAAGTGTTTACAAAGAAAGATATTAAATATATAAGGACCCATGGTCACCCTAACTTTCTGAGCATTGTTAACTTTGGATCTGATTCTTTTAGCTCACCGCCTTAGAGTTGCCATGGATGTGCTGGGCAGTCCTGTGTACACACAAAGAATGTATTGGATGTCTTGGAATTTTGAAAGTTCAAGGAATATTGGATTTTATGTATTATATATTATCTATTACTTTCTGGAGTAGCTTCCTTCTGTTTCTTGTAGATTTAAGAGTAGAATTACTATTCTGGTAGTCTTGCACAAGTATGACCCTTTAGATTATGTGAATAAACATCAAACTGGTGGCCAGGAATTGCAAAGTAGTACAAGTTAACGTAAGTATCATAAAGGTTTTTGGGACTCCAAAAGAGTTATTTATGTTCATCTCTGGTTCCAACCAAGTCTTCAACGTTGGATCAATGCATCAGATCAAGAATAAGTGGAGCCCCAAAGTCACACCATCCTATCAAAATAATTATCTATAATTAATATAATTATTGATCATGTAGTAGAAGTAACTGCCTAGATGATATAAGGCTTTTAGGATTTCATGGAAATGCTTCACAACTTAATTATGTTTCCCTGGGAGATTATAATATAATTCAATTTATTTTTCCCATGTGTTTCATCAATCATTATGTGGATAGAAGGAATATCAGAATCTCATTTCTATGTCAATTCCTGCAGAATGTAGACAAGTCATTTCAGTAGAACAGAACTGATTAGAAGACAGGGTTCCTCCCACAGGGAAATTATGCCCTTTGTCACTTGTAATGCTGGTGCCATATTCTGTTGGTTTCGTAGTATGTGATGAGGATAACTACAAAAATCTGTGATATCCCTGTTCCAGCTTATACACCAAACCAAATTGAGGCCTGTATAAAATGTTCTTCTTAGATACGTGAGTAGTTGTGTTCCCCTCAGGGCCTTGGTTTCTCTATCAAAGGAGGCAGGTGGTGGCTAGGTCCCCTTCTGCTTGTAAAGTTCCATACTCTAGTTTTGTTTGTGCTTTAGCTCTTTAGTGTCTACACTGGTGCATCTCAAGGTTTAACATACTTATGAATTACTGGAATCTTGTTAAAATGTAAATTATGATGCAGTTGGTCTAGGGTGGGATGGGCTCCTGGTTTTCTAACAAGCTCCCAGGTGATGCTGAAATGGCTGGTGTGTGAACCACATTTTTACTAGCAAAGATCTAAATGATGTACAGAGGTAAGGGGGGAAAGACTAGCTCTTTGTCTTCCTGTGGTAATACATTCACCTGCTTCTGTCTCAGGGCTAGGATTCTTGACTTTCTTCTGCAGAACACTGAAACATGCCTCCTCTTTCCTGGCTCCACCAAGCAGAGTTTGGGCTTCAAGAAGACTGAATGCATCTGTACAGAGCACAATCCCTTCTCCAAGAAGGAAACCATGGGGCTTATCAAGAAAGGTCTGTGCCTTTACTGTCAGGCATCCTCAGCCCTGCTGAAATATGAAATAAATGAGGTGGAGTTTAATTTTAGGGTCTACAAATTTGTAATGTGTTCATCATTCCTGATGCTATTTTACATGGCAGGCTGGGTTGTCAGACATGTTTTGTGAGGAGAGCTGCATTTGAGTTCTGGTTTAATGAAGCCTTCGCATGCACCCTCCCAGGTCCCTCCTCTAATCTCCATTTACCAGAGAAAGATACGCCACTTATATGAGGGATTTTCACTATTGGAAATGCACATCTCTTTTGCTTTCCTAGGGGCATGCTCTTTGGGGGGGATTTTCCCAAGCTGGACTGCAGGCTGACTTCCCAGCAGAGGGCGCACTGCCCCAGTGCCATGGCCCAGAGCAGTTTCCTCCTCTTCTGGGTGGACTTTCCTCCCCACTAGGCTGGTTAGGGCTGAGGAAGAATTGAGGAGAAATGAGCTTTCAGGAAAGGAGGACATGAAGATGAGATTAAGGGAGAAAATCAAATCTAATCATTTCAGATCTGAATCAGTGACTTTTAAAATGAAAGGTCTACTTGGCTACAGTTAATGACAGCTTTTCATAATTCTCAGCTATTGCAAAACTAACTTTTCTTTCTTAAAATTCTCTGAACCCTGCATTGTCCAGCATTTGTATCTTTCACTTTAATGAGCACTAAATAAGAATTACATAAAGAATTTTAATAATTCTCACTGGAAAGTTAATTAAGCAGCAAGAAGTCTTTGGAACTGTTACTCTTTCTGCCTTTTACAGACAAGTGCTTCCATGGCTTCCAAGGAAAGAGGTCACATTTATACATATATATAAAATGATGTGTGGGTTAGTAACTTTTTCCAGTAACAAATGACCTCCTTAACAAGCTGAAATCGTGAAATGAAAATCCACCTTTTTGTGGCCCACTTTCCCTGAACTCTATTCTCCACTTTCCTCAGACTTCTTTGCACAGGAAATGAATTCCCTGTAACTTTGGGGGGGCTTGAATATGTTGATCTCAAGTTCTCCAAATTTTTTGTTCCTCTATAAATCATACGGGCATGACCCAGCCCAGTCATTCATTTCAAATTTCTTTTTTCCTTTCTTTCTTTTTTTAAAAAACAGCTTCTGTTTTTTCTCATTTTTGATAGATCCTACCACAAACTTCAGCTAGAGTAAGTGCAGACGACCATAACACTATTCTCACATAGAGGGTATTTTATTAAGTCCAGCAGTTAAAAATGTACAAAGTTCCTTGTAATAATCCATTCATTCTGTTCTCGCCTGATTCTTGGAGTAAGCCTGCACAATTATTCAAATCCCAGCTTTTAGCTACAGCATACACCTCGCCATGGGGCTATGCCTCTGTAATCTTGCTTTGGTCTTGCATGTCAAATGGAATTAACTCCCATAAGAAATGTGTGCGAAGACAACCCAAAGTGTCTAATCCTGCTGCTGTCTTAAATTTCTGAAACTCTGAGCTGTCATCTTTTTCTATTGCTTTGTTGAAGTTCTCACTTATGCTTCAGTCCATCCAAAGCTGAAGTTTAGGAAAATTTGCATTTTTATATATTTTTTTCAGTTATGCTCTCCCTTGGCCTTTTCACATGTTCTCTTTGTAGGAGGATTTTTTTTCTTCCTTCAAATTTCAAGGCCATTTTGTACACAGTGGAATTGCAACAAGAGGTGAATTCACTTTTTCTTTTTTTCTTTTTTGCCCCTGGGAGTATACAAGTTGATACGCAGACAACACCAGTTGAAGATTCGCAAACCACATCCAAACAGATATGTGAGGGTGTGTGTGTGTGTGTGTGTGTGTGTGTGTGAGAGAGAGAGAGAGAGAGAATGTGTCTCTGAATGTTGTATGAGAAAGGGGAGAGAAGAAATAATGATATCATTATTACCATACCTTAACCACTCAACCTAGCTAATCAGAAAAACTAATTCTGTCTCAATTGAATCTCAAACTGCATCATCTCCCTCATGAATAAAATGCTTGGTGAAATGAGCTTGGTTAGGTTACTCTACTTGTATGTTGTATTAAGAGTAGATTAGCTTGATGAGTAATTTTAGACTTTCTTCCTTCTCTAGGAGGCATACTGTTTAAAGATCTTGAATGCTGGGACAGTCCTCTTCTTCTTCACCAGATCCTGTATTCCACTTAATCACCTCCTGCGAATTCCTAGACATGAGGAATCTAGATGAAGACTTAGTATTCAGAATGCAATGCAAGCACTTAATAAATATATGTTGAATTCCTACGAATAAGGACAGTGTGTTAGCTGTTAGCTAGAGCATACACTTCATCTCTTTCTTTCTGGGTGACTTATCTTGTTGCCTCAATTTACAAATTGTATCATTCCATCTGGAAATGAAATCTGGCCAGGTTTTAGTGAACTTCCCTCACAGCCTGTGTGTTCAGTCCGATCATCACACATGGTACATATTTTTAAATCACCAGTTATTCAGCATTGTGGGTTCCTTGAGGTGTCTCAACTAAGTGAGGTGTGGAAGGGTAAAATTGTAACTTGGTGTGGTGGATATTTAATAAGTGGTAAACCGCAGCATTCTCCATTTGAAAGCTAATTAAGGCCACTAGCTGACCGTGCTTGTGCAGAAAACATATTCATGGTTTAACCATGGAAACAGTCATAACAGCGCTCAGCTAAAAATAATGGGCTTAAGAGACATTTTCACTGATCACTCTTCAGTGCTTATTTATTTATTTATGTATTTATTTTAAGTATAAGAGTTGTCACATTTTTTAGGAAATACCCAGCAGCACTAGCTCATTTTGATACTTCAAAGTTTGACTTGTTCCATCATAGATACTAATATGAGGAGTGATGTTAGGGGAGAGCTGCGAGACCAAATTGTATTTTTTAATGCTGTATGCAGGAATGTCTCAAAAGATAATCATCCCTTATGCTCTCTTGAATCTCTTTCCTTGTTAATACTGGCCTTTAATATGTGATGTGATGACTTTTTGTCAAAAGAGAAGTTAACCCTCTAACACCTATTAACTTATTTTATCTAAATTGAGTTTGTGTTTGTTGAAGAGACCTCCTTTACTGACAGATGGTATAATATGAATTATGTTTCTGTGTGCTCATTGTTTCTTCACAATAAGAGTACTGTAATATAACCATATATTTTATCGTGCAATATATTACTTTGGCTAATAGGATTGAAAAAACACATCAAATGTAAATATTTTTTCAGCATCTGGATGGTGAAGTTAGATTGTCTTATCAAATATCGTAATGCTCTTCTGGGATCCAGCAACATTTAGTGTCACTGAAATAGGGGATAGCAGAGTATCAGGCAGATGTGATGAAAACATGACCAAGGTAAAGGGATCTCAAGGAGGCTGAAATGATCTGGGGGCATTGTTAGGCTGGTTGATTGCAAGTTGGTTTTAACTGAACAATAAGAATTCTGTTTTAAATCACCTTGGGGAGTGACCACACAGTAATCTTGGTCCATGATCATTTCAATTAATTTTAAATTAATTTCATTTAATTTGTCTTACTGACATCGAACCATATCGAGACCACATATTACAAGAATTTACTTCCTATTCTCCCATTCATCCACACAGCAATGGGTCTCTAAGCACATCTCTGGGAGAATTTTGAGCTCAACTGACACTTCAACATTGGCAGGATTTGGTAGAGAAAACAAATTTGTGCAATGAGACATGTATTTTCCATACCTTCCAAGAGCTAGACCTCATATCCTGCATATGCCATCATTTAACCAAATAGAGATAGAATCATGGTCCAAGAGCCATAGGAATTCAGATCTAGGTTTAGAACATTTTCCCGCTTAACCTGGCCATATCTGCAGCAGAATATGTTAAACAGAACTGACCTAGAACTGTCATCCCTACAAATTCTCACTTATGGCTCTTTTTAGCCTAAGACTAGATGACAAACATTGATCTCTCCCGGTATCAGTTGAGTTTCTCAGGCTCCATTTTTCTCACTGGCTACTTTAAATGAATACCATTTTTGCTGGTTTTCCTCCTTCCCACTCTCCTTTCATTTTCGTTATTTGTTCTAATTTAATTTGAAATGCCCAGCATCTGACTGTAATCAGGTAAGGGGACTCAGGAGACTTCCAGCAAGAGCAGGTCTTCTGAAAAGGGTCTTTTGGACACAACAGAATGAGCCTTTATTTATTATCTCAGGGATAACAAAATGGGGAGTGAGCAAGACTGCGCGGCAGCTGTCCTTTCAAGCAGCAGCTAACTTGGTGGAACGCTCCAGTCCCCAGGGTGTGAACAGACCGCCCCTTGGCTGAAAGTCATCCCGCTGTCCCTGGCTGCTGGTTCTCTAGGCCAACACAAACAAGCATAACAAAACATGCAGGGAAAGTGTCAACAGAAACCCGTTTTCTAGGAACCTGGCTTTTGGAAATGAACTGGATTTGCAGTCCATACAAAGGCTTGGCAAGGTTTCATTGGCCATGGCCACACACCTCACACTGTGACTCCTATCTATCAGGTGGGACGTTTGGCTTATTAAGCACATGTGCTCTATTTCATCTGAGATCCTCCAGAGAAAGGCCTTGGTTTCCCCACGTACCAAATGAAGATTATTGGGGAGGAACAAACACTGAAATTTGCAAAGGATCTCCTGGGTTTAAATTCTTGTTTTATAACCTGAGAAAATCACTCTCTCTAACCCTCAGTTTCTTCATTAATAAACTGGGGATAACAATATTTTCCTTTATAATCATGGTGACCAAATAAAAGAGAGAGATGTGTTATCATTGAGAAAAATATCATAATATGTAGACCAAGGTTAAGTTTGGTGTGGAGAGCCAATGAAAGCACAGATGTGAAAATGCTTGAGAATTGGAAAAGTACTATAGACATAAAATACATGATTATTGTTATTATCTTCAAGGAATTTAGTCATTTTTCTCCATAACAGAAAAAACGTGGTGATCCTTATCCCTACATTTATGCCTGGATCTATCACATCTAGAAGG